GGATGGGTGGATAACAGGACCCCCGTTGATACCAGTGTTTACTACACTGAACGGGCTATCCTGTATAAATAAAGATGTCTTCTCTACTCTACTCTAACTCCAACCACTTTTCGTTTCCCTCGGGAGTTTGAGTCAGCGGGGTTCTACTCTATTGTCCTCTCGAACACCACGTTTCAAGGTAAAATGCCTTTTAATTTCCAAGAACGTGCCGACTCCGTAAGCTCAAGCACTAACTCTCTACACAGGCGCGGACCTAGGAGAAATTTTGACCGATATAACTGCAAAACAAGCGCCGAAGGCAAAAGCTCCTAGGGGTGTCCGGGGGCATGCTCCCGTTGTTACGTATTCCACACTCTTGTTGAAGTCGTTTTCCAAAGACGTTGAATGATCATACAGGCTAACCGAGTAGCAGAATTACACAAATCGTCCGGGGAAATCTAGTTTGGTATGGACGCCCGCGGCGATGTGATGGCGTGACCGCCGTCGGAAGACTAGTGATTTCCCGACTGTAAAATTTTGCCGCCAGAACGTGTCTATGACCCTTGTCTATTTCTGGTAATTGGCAAAAAAGAATAACTAAAAAATAAATGTCAGAACTATTTTCGAGATTCAACTTGCAGTTTACTTTTATTAAAAAATATATACATATCAATTTTTTTATTACGAAAATTCTGACCGATTTCCGTAAAACGGTAGAAACCGGTAAGGATCCGCGCCCGTTTCAATCTGTATGCGCCGCTTTATGACGGGCTAAGATATCAAATAGGAAGAGACGAACTACAAGGATAACGCTTTAAGATGATGTAGGTCATAATTTGTAACCATATATGCTGGACATGTTATTTCCACAATAAGAAGAAAAGTACACTACTCCAACATGTTACCATAGTGCTGGCTTAAAAGTAATAACTTGACAACATTTACAAGTGAAATGTTTTGCGTTATTGCGTAAGAAGTTTACAAAGTTGCAAAAAGTTTGCAATGGTTTTCTCGGATGGGAGAGGGAGGAGGGAGGAAAGGAGGATGGGAGGCAAGGGCCGTTTAGATTTTTTAAAGAACTTTTCAGATTTTCTGACAAAGAAACGCGCGATCATAAGGGTACTCTAGGAGTGATCAAAGGAATTATAAAATTGTGCACTTGCTGTCAGATGCTGTTAACGCTACAGACGAGGAACTTGCGGCTGAAAGATAAAATTAGAATATTCCTTTAGTCTTTGAATAATGTAAACACAAGAACAAATAGTTTAGCCGTATTAAGAGCGTGTCCACGAAAAAACCGGGCAGAAGCGGGCAGGGGCGACAAACCCCAAATCACCGATTTGGCTCAAACTTGGCACAAATGATAGGTATCACGAGGTAACAAATGTGTGAAAATAATAGGTCAAAATATTAGATTCCCTGTCAGAAATAGGGTCTCCCTGGGAAAACCCCATTTCCTGCATTTTTTGCATAATTAATTGGCTAACTTTACATTGCTGCTGTGACAAACTGAAAATCCATATGCAAATTCAATCAACTGGATTGTACTCTATATCTATCAGACTTCAAGAAAATTGAGTTGTTTTAACTTTTTTATTTCATTTCTTCTCTTACCTCTTGCTTAAGTAGAGACGACTTTTTCTGGTTTTGAGAAAGTCAAAAAATAAGGGTATTTTAAGGCCCAATACCTCCGGTGACCAATCACTTCTGATCATTATTCCCCTATGGGCAGTGAAAGCTATCACTGGACTTCCAAAATCAGTAATAAAATTTTGGGGCAATTGATTTCATAACCCGTGCTGACGTGAAATTTACATCTACCTCCCGCTCTTTAGTCTATATCATCAAAATTCCGTACACCACATTTTTGTTTTATTAAGATAACTTGAGATTTACAAGGAGTTTCCCAGAGAGTACCGTTTAAACATGAACGAGGAGAGAATCTTTGAATAGCGGAAGTTGAGACCTTTATGAGACCTATTTTCGCAGCTACATTTGGATTATTCTCGAGGAAACGCAGTAGTTGATCATGAACATCAACGGCGCATGTAGTCGAACTTTCTGATAAAAGAAATCTTGGAAGAAACTTGATAGTACATACATGTCTCTGTGGTGCCTCAGTTGCAACTTTTGGCTTGATATCATTAGATAAGTAGCCATTATGTCAACAGTGCACCGGATTCGATTTGCCTCGTTGCCTTGTTGAAATATCAAACGCGGACAGAGCTCTTGGAAAGATCCATTAAATGATTGGTCTTTTACGGCGTGATACTTATCGACTTACATCAGGCGTGTGTGCACACTCCGATTGCATTGCATTGTGGTAGCGTTATTTTCAATAAGGCGGTAAAAGCGGCCTTTCACTGTAGGTAAATATAACTTGATATATTCTGAATATGTAGATCTGAAGTATTTTTCGTGCGAATTTGTCGCGTATTCTATCGTTCTCAAGGAAAAACGCAAGCGCTTTTTTTTAAAACAACTCAATTTTGGTGAAGTCTGATAGATATGGTGGAATACAACCCAGTTGATTGAATTCGCAGATGGATTTTCAGTTTGTCCAGCAGCAATGCAAAGTTAGCTAATTAATTATGCAAAAAATGCAGGAACTGGGGCTTTCCCAGGGACCCTATATCTCCAAGGGAATCAAATATTTTGACCCATTATTTTCGAGCATTTGTTAACTCATGATACTTAGCATTTGTGCCAAGTTTGAGCCAAATTGGTCATTTGAGGTTTATCGCCCCCTGCTTGGTTTTCTCGTGGACACGCTCTTAAATTCTCATTTAACGCTGTTTTGAGGACAGGGCAACTAACACGCAAGCTTATGAGAGAATATAGACCTTTAAGCTCTTGGTCTTAGTCTGATCAATGGAAGAATCTCACAATCGCAAATATCGTATGCATCATTAAGGACTGTGAAGCGTTCTTTTTTACTTGTAAAGTACTTTTCAAATTTTGATTTACCGGGAACTTAATAATTACCAACTATCCACCGAAGTGGAGGTGAATAGTGGTTGAGATTTACCGAGCCGCGCGAAGTATATACCATATAGATACCAAAAAATAAATTTATTTCTTTCCATATACCGAAAAATGATTGGAAATTAAACTCTTGACCCGCGACTTTCTCTCTTAGGCTGCTGGGAGGTGAATAATACTAACTTGCTACTCACTTCTGAACTAGCCAATCAGCTAGTGTGGTATATACCATGAACACAGCGGTCAAACACTGCGCATACACGAGAGCTTAAAAACGTGTCCACGAGAGTACTGGGCAGTCGTGCTACATGCCATCTCACCGATTTTCATGAAACTTTGCCAGTTTAAAGGATCTACCCCTAAACTCAAACAAACAAACTGGTTTCTCTTCTGACTATTTCTGGGGAGAGATACACCACCCCCGGTTTTTCTAGGTTATCAGCAAGGAAATCGCTTCAAAATAGGTGAAATGTATGAAGCTCTCACTGTAATGGTATTCCGCCAATTACTCTGAGGGTTTGCATACATACTAATACAACCTTAGTAAATGCAAAATCAGTTTGACTGATGGCTTGTCAATCAACAGAGGCAAATGAATGACTGTGTTTTTTAACTTTTTGATTCACTCAAATATTTGAAAACTTTGATGTCAAATGTCTCCCCTTGCCAGAAAGCTACAACTCTAATTTAAGTGCCCCTTTATAATCCATCATTTCATCTTAGAAAGCAATCCAAAAAATTTGGGGCACTAACAATATGTCGCATCGGAAAACCAGGTTTGTGTAGTTTCGGCAAACCGTAGAGTTTCGGTGGCTGTGGTACCGAGCACCTCAGTCGATAGTACCGTTGGGTGTCAAAGGCGTTCGTTTTCTTGAGTGTCAGTAGTTTACTGTTGAGTTTACGTTGAAGGGCAGGAGTTGGGTCACGTTTGAGTTCTTCGTAGGTTCGTTTGTCGTTAACNCCACTACCGCTACCGACAGACGACATCATGGACTTGCTAAACATTTGCCTAACGTCTACTTACTTTCAGTACAACGGTAAACACTACAAACAGTTACACGGCACTGCCATGGGGTCTCCAGTTTCTGTTGTTATAGCAGAAATTGTGATGCAGAACATCGAGGAACGCGCCCTTTCGACTTGCCGACAAACGATACCGCTTTGGTTACGTTACGTTGACGACACATTCACCGCCGTTCGACACGACGAAATTGACGCATTCCACAACCACCTTAACGAACAAAACACTGACATACAGTTTACCAGAGAAGTCGAAGAAAATGGCAAACTTCCTTTTCTAGACTGCCTGGTAAGCCACAACGACAACTCATTACGAACGACAGTTTACAGGAAACCGACACACACCGACAGATTACTAGACGAGTCATCCTACAACCCTACATCACACAAAGCCACAACTATCAGAACTCTAACACGACGCGCACAACTAGTATGTGACTCGACAGACAGCTTATCCGACGAGAACAAATACCTTCACCGTGTTTTTACGAAGAACAACTACAACAACGACTTCATCCGACGAAACACTCACCGACCCACTACCACTACCGAAACAAACGACACCGCAACCCCTACGACTACAGCAACCATACCGTACATAAAAGGCATGTCTGAAAACATCTCGCGCATCTTACTACCCTTCAATATCCGCGTCGCCCACAAACCCATCACCACACTACGTCAGTTACTAACCAACGTTAAAGACAAAGACGAACCGAGGAACAGACAGGGAACGATTTATAAGATCAATTGTTCCGACTGCCAAGCCTCCTACATCGGTGAGACTGGCAGAAACCTCACAACAAGACTGACTGAACACAGACGGGCGACGAGGAAAGGTGATGTCAGCAATCACATTGCTGAACACCATCGACTTACCAACCACAACATTGACTGGGACTCTGCGCAATGCCTAACCTACAGCACTGACTATTTTCAACGACTGACTCTGGAAAGCTGGTTTACTAACTTAGAACAGACTCCCCTAAACAGATGTCAACAACTACCCGCTCCATACAAACGACTCATTCACGACATAAACATCACAAACGACCGAAAAAGAACGACCTAACTTTACCGACAGATCGAAACAGACCAATCACGACCGACTTAGGTCACTTGAGTCTTACAGCCAATAACATCACGGCAAAACCAACCGATCATTTCACACGAGCTGGAATAAGAACATTCTACTGACAACAATCATTCACTTCACTCTGATGATGACTTCCGCACAGGTTGTCGAAACGTCAGTCACTACCACCCACAACAGTCCTTCTCGGGACTACACTCACCTGGACGATCAGACTACACCTTCACATGTTACCCCCGGGTTCAAACCATTTCCTGCATAGCTGAGTATATTTACGAGTTGTGCCGCATTTTGACGAGCCCGTAGGGAGAGTCAAAATACAAGTGACGATAGAGTAAAAATACTCGGCGATACGACACACCAAAACGTCTACTAAGTTATATATTATCCAACACGCCAGTGCGGGCGAATAGACGACTTTGCTAATACTAGGGTCAGAATGAATGCCGGGATTGGCCGAGCCAGTACCAGGTCGCTCAAGGAGCATGCTGCTTCGTGATGTAGAGTCCAAAAGTTTCGCAAATTCCTTAGATTTGTCTGTTTACAAACCTTTTTGCTTTTTATGATGGGTCGAGGTGATCATTTATCTATGCGGGAAAGTGAAAGTGACCGTGGACATCCCGAAAGGTGCAAAATTTTTACGAAAACCTTTTGCTTCCACTGCGTTCGTGCTGAAGTCCGTAATATATTCTTACACCTTCCGTTCCATTCCGTTTCACACAGCCCCGGTTCTTTTTGTTGTAGTCTCAAAAAGCTTAAAAAAGGTTAAAAAAGTTTGTTTGCAACCTTCTCTCGCTCCATGATGGGCCGAGGAGAACATGCTAACCGAAGATATCCTGTGGGGTACGTAAATTGAAGTAAATCTGTTATTTACATTTCGCGGCAACGTTTTGTTCATGACATCTTCAGTTTTTATAACAGTTGCGATATACAATCCCGATTGTTCTTTTTCCTTTGTCCGCTTGTCAATGGAAGTCAATTGATGGTTTTACTCCCATGGCTTTCCCCAGGAATAAACATTTAAGATGTCAATATGCCGATTTGTCGAGATTACCAGACAATCGCGTGCTACCAAAGTAAACTCATGAGAATACAAACTGCATAATATATCCTCTTGACCAAAATTCTAAAATTCAAGGGAAAATAACCTGTAGTATCCCTTAATAATAATAAAAAAAAAAGCTACAACAGACCGATCAGAAGCAAACACAACGCATTTCTTGCATTCACGAGACCCGGGCGATATATGTACCGTCATTGTTTACATAACTTCATGGCCATAAAATCGCGTAGCATTGTGTTAAAAATTCTGTTCCATTCGGATTAAGGTAGACCTTCTGGAGCTTAAACACGAACGCGCGCTATATGAGGAAGTCTTCCCTGGGAAGACCTAGGCTCATTTGTCACTCACCGTTAATGTGAGCGGGTCAAATTTAAATGCTAGTAGACGAACAAAAGGAGCTAATGAGATATCTATTGTTTACATCTAGCAGCATGGTGGCAATGAGGTAACGTGCGAACCATCTACTTCGATCTCAAATTTACCGCCACAAATAAAGACAGTTTCCACTGGAGAAAGGAAATACAAATCTCAAAAATTCTTGTATTGTGATGAAGATAAAAAACAGTTTTGAGGAATAAGCCCGCTGTTCACTGCTTTGGAGTAGCTGTAGCTCAAGCTGACTTGACCCTAAGAGTTCTACATCACACGACGGTTGATTGACAAATGGTCCAGTGGGACCTAAGGCTCCTTTTATAGCGCGCCTTCGTGTTGAAACGAAAACTATCTAATCCACGAATAACTGAAATTTAAGACATAAAGCGAAGGAATTAGCGCTGGAGTAACGAGAATGAAACTCAAAAAAGGCTAAGGACTACTACGGCCGAAAAATGAAAACAGGGGATCACTGATTTCAAGTGAGGCTTTGCGACAGTTTAGCTATTATTTGGACTGCTATTTTTTTTTTGTCCAAATGTTCTTAAGGTATTATTCGATCTAAGATTTTGTCTTTATATTATTCAATTTCCAGAAATTTTAGCACAATGCCACGCGATTTTATGGCCACGAAGTTAGGTAAACAATAAGGGTAAATATATCGCCCGGGTCTAAAACTGTTATAAAACTGAGCATCCACTATTTCGATTTTTTTATGAGCATTTGTACGGTTTGCTTGTTGAGCCTGCCATAACTTTGCAGAAGGCAGAAATTTTAGGTGTGTTATGAAAGTGCGATCCTTATATCTTAGCCACATTGTAGGTTTTGCAAAAGGATCATTCGTGTGATAACACAATAAATTTGGGTTAAAATACAACAGTCAAATATTTGTCAAAATGAAAAGTTGCCACCTAAAAGCTTCAGTTAAAATGATCTGACAGCTTGAGCTATGTTGCATAAATGTTGACCGATTTACAAAAAATGGTCTTGATGAGTCGGTGGTTGAACATCAAAATATTCAGAAGCAGCACCTAGTTTGGGAAGTTAAGTGCAAACAATGTACATTTTCCCCACTGCACTGAGTTGAACTTTTAAGTTCTTTTTGAAGTCTACGAATTTAAAGGAATTGATTATGTCCTTGAAAATCCATTCTACAGATAATTTGGAGTTAGCCTCTGATTTTTTCATCTGATGGCTGTGTTATATAAACCAAGCTAACTATGGAATAAAGGTTTTATCCTTATCGACTGTACTGTTATTCATTATAACATCCGTCGATGAAACCACAACTTTCTGCCCAAACACCAAACGAGGTCTCTTTTAACTTATTTAGGGAACTCAAGACTAGGAGAAAGGATTGAGAAAAGGTAAGTTAACTTCCTATTTGTAGACTCGATTACAAATAGGAATAAGCCATCTTTATTTACTATACATAAAAGAATATGCATTGGGAAGATAACAATCAAATTTTTCCTTTACAAAATATAAAAAGGTGACTGGGATAAGAAGTATCATTAAAAACTGGATCATTGGATAATGCAATTCAAGACTTTTTATTGGCTTAGCCATTATGGTATATGAGCCAATATACCATAATCTACAAATATGGTAAGCGTGCGCGTTGGATTGAAATTAAAAGGGAGCTAAAAAATAAGATTTGGTTAGATTTGTTTAATATCTCGGGGGCGTCTTTAATAAAATAATTATTCCACTCACGCTTGTTGGATATGATATGATTATGGCCAACTCAGGGCTATGCGCCTCCTTGGTTATCTATCACCTCATATCCAACATGTGCTCATCAAATAATTGTTAAATACCTGCACTAAAGTGAGGCCAATCTTCGAATATCACTGGATCTCTCAATAAGTTGGCCACAACAGATGCTGCCATCACAGAGGCAAATTCTTTCCACTTCTCATTGCAAGACTGGCTATCATTTACAAAGTCTTTGATCCCTTTTACTATGAGCCATTCCATTTTCAAATCATTAGCTGCCGTAAAAAAACCTAGAAAAAGGAAGAAATGTTTGTTTATATTTCTTTTCTATCATTAAAATCACTTTTTCAAACTTTTAAGTTTACCAAGATTAGCACTCCAAACATTTGTAAACGTGAACACCAGAGGATGTTAGTCTTACCAAAGGCTAATTCCTGCAGCTGATGATTAAACAAGAAGCTTGTCTAGAGACTTTAAAACTACATCAGCAAACAAACTGTTGACTTTTGACTTATCAGGGACTGTGATACTTTTTCTCAAGCTTCAACCCTATTTAAAAGATAGTTTCTACATCTTTCAGATGAAAAATTTTTGACAATTCAAAACTACCTGATTTAGCATACAAAACTCTAATAATAGGTTTGAAATGCTGTGCACGGCCCCCTAATTCCATGACATCATTGTCAAGAAAAACAATACCCAAATGCTGTAATTGGTGCAAGATATTGATTCGAAACACAAAAAATGGTAAAATTACATCTGAATAACATTAGTCACTGTAAATTGGCAAAACGGTCTTGCAGTCTGACACAAAATAATTAATCATATACATTATATAATTCTTGCAAACTCTTCATTCTATATGGTACAGTGTATGTCAATTCTTAGACCAGCCAAAACAATTCCAGAAGTCCTTTTCAAATCAATTCCTACAAGCTACATGTCAAATGAGGAAGGGAAATTTGTTACACTGCTGAAAACTCCCTGGCTCATCAAACATAATAAGTATGATTCTCACCTGCACCTTCTGTTTCAACTGCAATTGCTTCACGATTTTGGTCAATTATGTCCTTGTTTTCCTCTGAGATACTCAGAAGCGCTCCACAGTGGACCACGGGATTAATTCCATCCTCTTTTTCCACAGGCGCTTTCCATCCGTCAGCAATATTTCTGATTAGGTTGCAAATATTTCTGCTAGGTGGAACTTTGTGTGCAACCGTTATCAGCTTTGATGAGACAATTACATCTCCCCGCTTGACCTTTGTTTTGTCCACACCACTGCATGCACCCACAGAAAATAATGCCTTGGGCTTCAAAAGTGAGATGGCTATTTGTGAAGCAGACAAAGAACCCCCAGGAACAATAGAACCTTTGGAGCATTTCATTAATGCAATTTTAAGGCTGTGTTCCTTATTATAAGTCATGCAACCAATGTATACATAGCCAGTATCGATTCGGTAATACTTCATGGGTTCTTCCAGGTAGGCAAAACAAGATGCAAACTCTACGTTTTCCACGGTGAATAATAGGATATCGACTGGAAGTTCAGCATTGTTCAAAAGAAGAGAGGTTTCAGGAAGCTCACTAATCATTGGAATTGTAACAGTTAGCTTTGGTGGGCTGACCATGGAATTCCCTGCTGATCCATTTTCTACAAAATAAAGTACTACATTCTGACCACATGTGTACATACATGCAAACATTAATTGTAGATGATTGTCTCTCAAGTATAGTCAGAAGACTGTTTTCACCAACAACACTAGTCTGAATAATAACTTAATTATGACTCCTTAAAAAAAAAATTGGGGACCCTCAGTAAAAACAATCACACAAACGTACATTCCTCTCACATCAACATACGTACAACTCATACCTGCATGTAAATACATTTGTGATAAAATAGCAGTGGAAAAGCAGTGATCTCTCATCAAAATTGTGTTTCTACTTAGAAACAATGTTGTGCAAACATTGCTAAGAGATACAGAAAATGTCAAAAATTTCAAGAATTTCTTGATTTGCATCCACAATGAAAAAGGAGCGCTGCATAAACCATACGTGGGCCTGCCACAGGTCTCCCACTAGAAAAAATAACTACTTAGTCACAATGTTATTGTTTTCGCCCACGTTATCAGAGAGAGGAGGAGATTTACTTGGTCAAAAAAAAAAATGGGGGGGGGGGAAGTGGCACTTAAATGAGCCATAACTGATATTGTTAAGCACTGTTGATGCTACACCGTAAGTTTAAGATTCATTATTAAAAATAACATTACACGAACCTTCCCTGCCTGAGTTTTGTTCAGAAATGTCAGTGGAACCCTCCATTTGCACTTTCCACTCTCTGAGACACTCTCCATGATAAACAGCATCTTCATCATCCATTTTTTCAAATTTAAGAGCATTAATATCATCCTCATAGCTAGCCCTTCCAAACCGGAGAAAGACGCATTTAATTTCCTCCCAATAGGAATTGAACGTTATATCATCAACTGAACCACTATTAGAATGACAGTAGACTTTGTCTCCAAGTACTTTGATATAGGCAATTCCAGCTTCCGGAGAAGTATCTGTCCCTGGGAGAAAGTTGCCTTGGCCACTAGCAGGGAGTTTCAGACCAAAAAAACTGCTCAGCAGAAGTAGCTGTAGAGAAGGGCTAAAGTCTTTGGAGTTAACTGATGATTTGACTGCTGGATATAGTTTCTGCCACTGGCTCATACTCAAGACACCTTTGATTCGAAGAATTTGTAGTTTGTTACAACTTGGGGCATCATTTAAAATTGTGTTCAGTTTTAGTGGTGGGCACATCCTGTCAAAGAGATCTGTTAGCACAAAATTTCCAACCCCAACAAGTAGGCGACACAGCCTACCATAGTTATCTCTTCCTCTGCTAAGCAGACACAAAGGGCTCACAGAATCCATGGAAACATGTCTCCTATAAATTAAAATTATTAGAGACAAATTATTAGAGACAAAATGCGCCAATCAATTTGAAGCTTCAGCATCCCCCACCCAGGCAACCCAAAGGCATTTGACTATCCTTCATGCCCAGAGGGTGGGGAATTTGTACCTAGCATGAGTGGGGTGGGAAATGTGAACATGAACTGTCAAGTCTCTCCAGAGGAATGTACATGTTTTAACTTTTAATATGGACGTATTTTAAGGTAAAAATTTCACTTTTGTGAGCATGTGGATTAGAATAAAAGGTCCAGGAGAAAGTCACTGATGCAATTATTGCAACAGGAGTATCAAATTCACAATTGGGTGTGGTATTTGAATAAACTTTTGACCCAGGGGGGAGGGGGGGGAACAAGAATTTGAATGAACCAATTTACACTTTTGGGGATGCAAGGGGAGAGGGAGGGGGTTTGGAGCTTTGAATTTGACATAACAGTTATCATGACTTTAAATCCAAACTATCAAAATGTTATGAATCACTCAGTAAATGCACTTAATATCAGCAAGCATGTTTGCACCATGTAGTGATTAATTACCAAGCTAGAGGCATCCTTCAGCTGATAGGCACAAAAGGCCTTCACACAGGATCTGTGCATAACCAAAAAGGTTAAAAGCTTATATCCAAACAGGTTGTGATTGATAGCTAAAAATGCTCAATCAAACATTTTCGTTTTGAAGACAAAACAAGAAGCCATCAGAATCATATTGGTTTAATTTCTTCTGAAGGAACTTCATTCCAATACAAAAGAGGAAATATATTACTGTTCAAGTGAATAAATGATCTTGAAGGCAAGCCAGAAGCCTGAAAAATTCAGGCATTGATAGGATTTAATCATGTACCTCCCAAATGCTAATGAAGGGCTGTTACCCACTGAGCTATGAAGCCACAAGCTGGGTGCAAGACAAATTTTTAGTGGGTTCTTTGTTCCCATAGAGGAATCTGATCACAAATTTTAAAGACTGAAATAGGTTTCATTTGGACCTGTGGACAAATTTAAGAGAAGATATGATCCTCCAAGGATAGCTGCAATTTGAGCAAGGGCAGAAAAGAAAAATTCAGGCTTTAACAGTAGTAAACCTTTGCACCTTATAATTTTACAACAATGACATCTGGTCAATCAAATTAAATGCCATAATAGATAAACAATGAATCAACATTAAAAACTGTTGTATATGAAGATATCAAAAGCAACTCTGAGCATCAAAGAATAACAAATGCATTGAAAAAATGAGTTTTTCCACTAAAGAGGAAGTGCTGACAAAAGCACTTTAGCAAGAGTTTCAATGATTTGGTTTTTGAAAAAATATATCTCACAGCTATTAGACACAGAAAATCCAAATTAAGTTCATACCCTATCAAAAAACTGTAACAAAGTTACTGTACAATTGTGGAATCAAACTGTTCCATGTTTGCTTTATGAATTCAAGTTTATGACATTTTTCATTGTATCAGGCATTTGTGGTCAGCTCTCTAATCAGGCCAAGCTTTTTTCTGTCGAATCTGGCTGTTATGTGTCCATCAATCTGAAGCTTCAACATCCCCCCCCCCCCCCTGTCCCAAAACAGTTTTTAAATGCTCTACCCAAGAAACAGATTTGATAGTCAACTATTTGGTGAAAAGCAAGATCTGTGACAGTGAAATTCTTGTAGTGGCAGGAGTGGGGGATGTTGAGGCTTTAACTTGATTGGAGCATTTTCGCCAGTCTCTCCATCCCTGGTTACAAACATAGAGATGTCCCTAAAATGAATAAGTTGCCAGTAATTGGATTTTTACGTTGACACAAAGATTTCTGGGATTGGTAGGAGTCAAACACTGCAAGTTACTAGGAGGAAATATATGGTGAAAGGTTGTTTTGCAGTACAAACAAAAAGGCTTTAATGAGTTACTTCCAAGTAATTTATTACTAATTTAAATTTGTAATACAGTATTTTGGGACCATTAAGGTGGTGTGGGAGGCTTGTTTGGCTATTATTTACTCTGTTTGGCAGCATTACAAGTAGTCTAAGAATTCAACCAAAATAAACTAAATTTTCAGAGATAACACAGAATTCATAGACTCTGAATTTAAGGGGGTTGCTGTGGTGGTCAAATTGAGGAATCTGTCTCTATCGCAAGGGAATTTAACCTTTTACAATTGAAATGTTACTAGGGATTTCAGATAATGAAAAAAAATATATTTTTTATCAAAAATATAAACTTGCATTTCATCATCTCATCAAGTTCACCATCACCTGAGAAAATGAGTGCATTCTGGTAAAAGGTTCCACTGTTGTCTGTAGTTCTTCAATTAGTTTCCACTGGTTACATCTTCAAGATTTCAATGACAATGTCTGCCTCAGTTAAGAAATAATTATACAAGGCCGTGCTCTAAGAAACTGTGAAAATGGCTTTGCAAAAGCACAAGGATCAGTCATTTTCCAATGTCTTGGGATAGTGCTTGTGCTTGCACTGAGGCCCATTTTACTGTGAAATGAATGTTGTGCTTGCATTTGTGATTGTGTCATTGATGAAATCCAATCTTAATGAAGTACCTTTTGTCAAGAATTTTACTTTTCACAACTTTCAATCTGACATGGCATGACTAAGTAGAAGAGGTGGTCTATATTTGCTCCCTTTTGGTTGCAACATGTCCTAAAAATTAGAAATACCATAAAAAAAATTTTTGGAATAAAGAGTTAAATGAAAACATTCATTGCTTGGAAAATAAACTAAAAAATATACATATATATTTTATTTTTCCAACACTCTACGGAATGCTTTCCAAAAGAACCCAAATGATTTAGGACTGTAATAACAGGAAGCTCCTCCATGGACTGAACAATTTTTGAAGTTATTCACATTAAGGAGAGAGTTAATCAGGGCTCCAGAGAAGAAAAAAAAAATAGAATAGGCATGCTATGCATACAGGAGTTACTTTTTTTGGACATGTGAGTTGAAATCGGACACTTAGTAACTGACGTTTGCTTTTTTGAAAAAAAAAGCATTTATTTTCAAAAGATTCCACTGAATATCATTCAGACACAAGTATTTTATATAGTATTGCCACAGGTGTCGGAATAATTGTTGGCAAAAATAAACTGCACTGGTACCACACTTCCTGTAGTCTCTTCCAAAGCCCTAAATTGGTCTCATCGTGCAATGCTCTCTCTCCTACATTGCTTGATGAGGCCAAACCCCCCTGCTCTTAGGCTGTGATGATGCTTACTGCAGCTGTTCCTTCGTCAGAGACAAAGTCTTAATTTTTCAGTTACTGCTAGCTGCATCAAAAATATTCTTCCATATAATAAATGCTGTTACTGTATTTATCCGTGTATAGGTCAACCCCCCATTTTCAAGGTCAAATTCTGATTTTTCATAATTTCTAGGCAAGAAAAATTCAGACCAATAGAAATTTCCCAAATGGCTGATCTCTTATTTCTTAGAATGTATTTAAAACAAGGTTAATTAAAAAAAACTGCACAGTAAAATTTAACAGTGTGCTGTGAAGTTTAGTAGCACTTGTTTACATCACCATGATTCATGATTTAAGCATATACGAGCCCTTCGATTTACTTCATGACAATTTGATATTGCTTTTAAAATGTGACTCTCTAAAGCAGGAGGCCACAAATATTTTAATTTTTCCTCAGTAATCAAACAGTGAAGATAGGCGATTTGTGCCTCAGGATGTTGCATAACAATCAGTACTCAGAATACTTGTTCAAGCTGAATCTCCAGGTCCAAGTAGACCCCAAGTACTGTTCAATTCATGCATTCATGTCATTCACACTTTTATGTCAACAAATATTTTGCTGGTTTCAGTGCACCCATGACTGACAAATTTAATATTTAGCAGGGACAACTATTTTTGAGAGGTTACATGGAGCCATAGGCAGACCACACTGTGTGTTCATAGTTAACAATTCTTGACATGAAGCCAACAAAATCTATGAGGGTTAAAAATAAAGCTCCGAAAATTGCAGAGAGAAGAAAAAGAGATTAGCCTTGCCACTTGGTGGCTACTGACACAACCTCCTCTACTTCAAACTGAATTTATGCCAAACTGCTGAAAATCTCATCTAATTGGCTTTGGCTGTTGATTTACAAGATGTTGTTCAATCCCTCCGCCAAATTTGAGATTCATCTCTGCAACTCTTTCTGAAAAAATCAATGCTGGATAGATGAATACAGCTTTCCTAATATGATCAGAGCCAAAGTCATTGACCAAAGGAATTCAAAGCACACAGGCTGTTTCAAGGTGAAGATGAGGGTGAAGGTGAGGGTGAAGGTGAAAAAATACCACAAATGAATCCATTAACATTTTATGTGACTTCAATGAGATACTTTGACCAAGATGTAATTTAGCAGTGCTTTCAATAAGGCCAGGCACCCTGCAGAGCTCCAGCCAGTATTAACTCTGTTGTGAATTGCTAGGTATACTTTGCCCTGTTCTGGTTGAGTTTACAAAGCTCAATATGCACAAAGCAGAAGTACACATCGTTGATAATTTAAGATAATTTTCAAACAACTTTGTGCTGAACTGAGATCAGCAAATATTTTCTGCTTAACTGCTAGTTATATATCAAACATAAAAATCAAAATTGTGAAAATGATGCACAACAAAGGCAAATAAAATGTGAAACTTGTCTGCAAAGATAATAAATTTTCATAAAAATGCTCCACTGAGGCTTAACTACAAAGATACAAAAACAAAAACAGCCATTGAACACTTAGGGCCACTGTTTTAACATAGCAGCGTTCTAGGCCATCTTAAATTTAACGGAATCTTTTATCTGAACATTTATTGTGTGAACAGTGTCAAGAAGGCTCAAAGCTAAAAGTGGAAGGACATTTATTTGATTAAATCAACCCCCTTATAGAGAATCCTTGAGCCCCACTGTTTGCGTAAAACCTGCATTTTGGGTTAGCCCTTGTGTAAATAACCAGCCCTTAGCATCCTAACTTTCACTGAAAAAAACCTGAATTGCCTGTGAAAATCAAAGAAGACCGCATTCTAATGGTTACTGGTTAGCAGTTACACAGGCAAGTTTTGGCTTTTCATGATTTTTTCTGAAGCTTGGCAACTCAACCATTGATAAAGATGTGATATGAAACACCAGCTGTGGGAACAATTTAAATTTACTAGCTGATCGATTTAATTTAATGATTTTAAATAAACATTGGGTGCTGAATTAAGTAATCCAGGGGTCTATCCAATAGGCAATACTTGTAGAATTCCCTGCTGCACATCTCTGATTTCTCCTTGTAAGAAAATGTGATCACAAGAAATGCATTCTGTGTTTTGAGGCAGGAGACTAAGAAGTTTGTTTCTAATTGCAAGCAGAAGAGAGTTCTATAAACAAAGATCTGCGAGTCAAAAAGTGATGCACAAATGGAAAACAATAGAACATGGCTTGGCCAGGTGAAGCTAGATTTGGTCATGGTGTCAAAACTTGAGAATATAAGCCTTAAAGGAAATTACATGTACAGATGATATATAATGGTAATTCAACTGAGTGGAGTGCAATTTGGGCTGAAATCCTATGCATGATTTCAAAATCAAATGAGTGTGCAGCACAAGTTCCATTTGAAATCACAAGTATGATTTCAGACCGCAATTGCACGAAACGAGGTTCAATTACCACTTTACTACATCCATTTTAAAATCGCCCAAATAAAGGACTTGGTCAATTCAAATATTTTACTGATGCAGTACTGAGCCGGTTTTTAAATAATAAGTGGAACCAGAAACCCTGTTACATCTTATTTTGTATGCAAAACAGAAAGACTGACATCATGTGTCAAAAACTCAGTCAAGCGTAAAATGATGCAATTCGTGAATAAATCGCACCGATTAGAGCCAATCAGATTACAGGAACCACCGGTGAATTCAATATGGACGTAATAAATGAATAAGTCGCACCAATTAGAGCCAATCAGATTACAGGGACCACCAGTGATTTCAAAGTGGATGTAACAAAGATCTGTAATTTTTGGAGCTTTATTCTAACTCTCATAGATTTTGTTTGTCTCAGGTCAACAATTATTTACTCTTTAACTCCCATGAGTGACCAGGAAAGAATTTCTCCTTACAATATCAAGCAGACAAGTGATGAGAATAATGAAAATATCAATTAGGGGGTTATTAGTTGATCCAATACCAAATCCTCAGAACTGACTTTATGAGAAGGAGGGAAGTAAGGAGTAATGACATGTTGGAAGAGAAAGGGTTAACCATGACCACAGAGACCGGTCTGCCCAAGGAGGAGCAAAACAAATTCTGTCACCCGGCTCCCCTCGTATCAACAATGCCTAACTCCATTTTTGATGAAACAGCGGCGAAAAAGCGTTGATCACACTCCAAAATCGTTGGGAAAAGTAATCGATAATCAGTGAATACTACCGAATGTACAGACATCGAGTGTTGCTCTAAGCATATTCAATAATTTTAAGTTGGCATATGTCTACATAAGCAAATTTCAAGGCGGATAGCTGAGCCATTCAAGCCACATTCGGTGAAAACGACAGTTGAATATAGATAGGCAGCTATAGGCAGCTATAGGCAGCAATTTGCAAATGGTTCGACTTCAACTGGAGTTAGGAAGTGCCGCACACTGAATCACGTGGTTAAACCGGGTCGAAAACACAATCTTTTTAGCTAGTAACAACGTAACAACAGGAGCCAAGTTGAAAAGTAGATGGTAAATGAATGACTTTACCTTGGCAAGAATCGTCCTCCTAGAACCGTCCACCAAGTTTTTCCTGGTAGACATAACCTGCAATTCAGGCTGATAACCCCGCGAGTCTTGAAATATTGAGAATTGATACAGAAAGAAGATAGGTGACGTCTGCCGTCTAAAGCACGGCCGAAGGATCCTCGGAGATCCAAGGACTGAGTCTATTTCAAGTTAGAGCATGAAGAGTCCCTGGGAACATTAGTGAGATTTAGCAAGAGGGGTGATGCTATATCGAAAGCGCTCGTCGAGGGTCGAACACAAATTTATAGTACAGCAGTTAAATTAACAAATGTTAAACACCACAGCGGCCATTATTGAGTTATAGATGCACGCGGGAGGTTGCTAAGCACGAAAGAAGCGTAAGTGTCGCTTGAAGCGATAGCCGAGAGCGACTCAGGCTTCTTGAGTGCTGACCAAACCTCCCAAGTGCATCCATAACTGAATAGTGTACGGTGTGGTGTTTACCATTTGTTTTATAACATAACATTGATACATTGTAGCTAAAGAGTTCCCTTTTATTTAACAAATCTTACGTGACCAGAAAAAACAAGCGCGCGCGGAAAAATAGTCTTTGCATTTGCTCACGTCAGCAGCGTACACCCATGGGCAAATGGGGGACGCTAAATTGACCAATCAGAGCGCGCGCTTTACTTTGGTTATGTTATAAAGACATTTGGCTACACGAGCAGCAACTTACTTCATTTTGTCATTCGCCAGGTGGTGGATGGACCTTAGTTGTGGGTATCAGCTCAAACAACAACGATCACCTTCAAAGCGCACCCAATAACTGCCTCAACGCCTCGCTGTGTGTTCCCTTTACTGACCAGGATCAGGGTAGAAAACTGAGCGACAGTGT